CCCTGCTTTTTATGGAATTATTGAAAGATTTCACAGGTCTTTGAAAGCAGCCATTAAGTGTTATCAAAATGACAACTGGGTTGAAATATTACCTCTCATCCTTCTAGGATTTAGAGTTGTAGTGAAAGAAGATATTAACGCATGTCCTTCACAACTGGTTTATGGCGTTGGCTTACGTTTACCCGGGGAATTCATTTCAGAAGTTAATCGCGACGTCTCAAACCCTCAGGCAGAATTTGTAGCTAAACTAAAAAGATTTATGAACGACTTAAGACCTACTCAAACTGCTCATCATTCTAGTGGAAAGGTTTTTATTGAAAAAGATCTTTATTCCTCGGATCAGGTTTTCGTCAGAAATTCCATGATTTGTAAACCATTGCAGGCTCCATACGAAGGTCCATTCACTGTTCTTAAGCGTTTCGATAAATATTTTGTCGTGGATGTTAAGGGAAGGAAAGTGAATATCTCGGTGGATCGCCTCAAAGCAGCCTTCAGTGAACAATATTTTAAGGAACAAGAAGTTAAGCCTTTAGTCACTGACAAGAACGATCATAAGACATACACTTCGCGTTATGGTCGCAAGTTGTTTTTTCGGAAGGGGGAATAATGTAGCTGTTCATATTCTAAATAATCACAGTAAACTGGATTATTATTTAAGTATATTGACAACATTAAAACTTGTAAAATAAAAGAAAAAGAAAATTATATTCGAAGAAGAAGTTTCGGTTTTCTGATAAAGAAAATAAGTACACACAATAAATAATTTTGAAATTTAAATATAGCCTCTGTATTTCAATTACGTTCGCGTACAGAAACCCGCTATAGGTTAAAATAATTTCTTTGAAGTAGTCATAAACTTTTCTTTAGAATTTTCAAACTAGAATTTGATTTTCTTGTAATGTTTTGATAGACAAAGGCTTCATTACTTAGTTAGCATTACTATGGTTTCATATAAATTTTGTTCATATCTGTAACCAAAACATACAGGATTCAAATTCCATACTCTCCATAGTATGGAATATAGAAATAATAATATATTTTTTAATTATGTGTAGTTTAATTTGTAATTTATTTCTATTCATTTCCTCATAATGGTAATAAACCTCAATCTGTATTAAAATGTATCTGTCTATATAGCTTCAATGTATTTATACAGGGTTAAACCTTAAAATTATGCAAAAGGATTGTAGTTTCTGGTCCTGAAGTGGTATTTTAAGACTCCATTAATAATAATAACAACATATCTTTTATTTATTTGAAGATCATGCTAATATTGTTATGTTGAAGCTATTTAAGCCAGTGCACTTGAGCACTTTTACTCTTTCTTAACTCGGGGTATTTTCAAAACCTCTCTTTACGCCTTGACTGCCAGGCGACTGTTTATCACTTCATCAGACTAAGCAATACTTGACCTCAGATCTGCATACCTCCCCGAGGAGCCTATAACAATTCTGAGATTCGATAACGCTGTGTTGGTAAGCCTGTTAGTTTTCGTAAATAGTTTCAGGGCTCTGTCCTTCATGTATTTTTTGATCACCTTGAAAAGTCTTCTCAGTTCAGAAATATTTTGATGATTGGAATTGAATAAATAACAAATAAATAATCGATATCAAATGCAATGAATTTACTTATTTCAGTTTTTCATTGTTAATAGAAAAGTAATTATAAGACTAAACGATTCCTGATCTAAAAAGATGCAGTCATTCTTATCAAAATTCTGTTAAGTTTTTAAAGAGTTTAAAAGAGTTTAAAATCTTTTCAATTCTCTTCATAATTTTAAATGAACTTGAAGCTATAACACCCATCACTTGGTTAGAATAAGTGTTATTTTTAAGTGCTCCACTGTGCAAATTATAATTATGTTTCATTATTTAGTTTAATTGCATCAATTTCACAAATGAACATTTACTCAAATATTATTTGCTTGAAAATGGTTTTAATAACGTTGGCATTTAACACAATTCCCAATTGATTTTTCCATGTGAAAGTAACATTTTGAGTTCTAGAAGCAAGAAATGACCTTTAAAAAAAAATTTAATATTAAAATTTCTTTGACCGTCAAAATGTCAATATTGTGCAAACAGAATATATTATTAAATATTTAATATACCATTAGATTTTTTAAAAACTGAGAGTTGAAAAAACAGTGCACACTCAGTTGTTCAGTTATTTCGCCGAACACTATCCACTCGTCATTAATCGAACTACAAAGAGGATTTAGTTGACATTAGTTTTTGGAATAAAAATGAAATTATATTGATACTAACATATTCCATGAAAATTGATGAAACAACAAATTTTGGTTTAATTTTTAATTTTTTTGCACCAATTGTATGGAAAATTCATAAATAAGGGTTCAGTTTGCAGAAATCATTCAGAAAGAATGATTGAAGGAGAGTGAGAATGATCAGAAAAAAATCATTTTTCATAATGAATATATTCAAACTACTTCAAACCACATCAATAATAACAGTGAAGAAAGTACAAATTCTTGTAGAAACCAAACCATTTATTAGATGTGGGTGATCTATCCTTCCTTCCTTTTTTGAGATGCCCCAAAGCAGATATGACACAGTTTCATCGTTAACTCCACAACTGCGACAGGAATGAGGAAACAAGCGACTCAATTTTCTAAAATGGTTATCTAATCGTCTGTTACTCATCAACAAACCCAGCAAAAAGCTGATATTTTTACAAGGCATCTCAATGAGGGTGTGGAATTAATAGACTAAATTATTTTTAATATATCTTTATAGAATGGGAAAGTTTTATATAGATAACTGCTTGTCGTTGAGTCTTCTCCACTTTTAATAAATTGGACAGCACAAAAAGAATTGACCAGCACAAGCTGGTCAGCGCCTGACCAGCTTGTCTGCCGTGCAGATCTCGAAAAACAAGACTATAACCGGAAATCCAGAGTAGACAAATGTTAAACTGCGTCGACAACTGATTTAGTATAGATGTCAAAAACTTTGTACGACGTAATTAGACTGAGCTTAAAAACTTTAAAGCAATTTAAGTAATTGGTAATATATATTCCATTAAATGAATTATTCACTTCCAGGCAAGCTTCAACTTCCAAGCTCCAATCGCCTCCGTCTGAAAATGACTGCAGTGATTAGGAAGGCTATAATAAGTAGATTTATTCAGTTCATTAAGAAAACTTTACAGCCTATACCACACTTATTTTAGAGCTATAAGTGTAAATGATCAGAACCCTTGATTGCGACGTGTTTTGAAATGGAAACTCAACATCAAATTTTCTATCGAAATGGAGAATAGGAAAGATGTAATCAATGCTTTTTTTAAAATAGAGCTGAAAATATTAAGGGTGAAGCTTTGAGCCTAAGGGTAGATAATGCTGCACGTCTTAAGTTTGAAGATAAAGTGACATTAGGTGAAGTATTAGGTTAATCGCAGTGGATGATGTTTACTTGAATTAATACAGAGTTCCACCCAACGCCATAACCTGTTGAGTACCATACAGTATCAAGATTTATCTACCATAATGTAATACTATACATCAGAGTGGGTTTTATGACAGCCGTGTGGAGCTTCTGGCATAAAAAGAGCGCAATATTAGGTTTCTTAACGCGCTCGAAAATAATTTGCAAAGATATATCTAAGTTTTCCTTTAAAAAACATATCTAAAAACCTTGCTTTCTTTCTAAGTTGCAGCACAGTTTATCGTAGAATGGGTGAAGAAAGAATAAGAACTATATGCTTTCTGATAAAAAGAAAGAGTTCATCCAATGAAGTAACGAAATTACTTCAATTTATATGCCGACTTTTAATTTTTTGGGCTTATATTTCTACTACTATATTACATCTATAATAAAGGTGCTTTAATAATGGAATATAATGTCCTAAATGCTATTTTCTATGTATTCTTGATAATATTTTGTTTTCATATTTGAGAAAAATTTTATCTGATGACACTCGATATCTTTTTTAATGAAAATTCGCTGTAATTTAAAAAGTTTTGACAGGAAAAAAATATTTTTTTTTTTTAAAAAATAGATTCAGTCTTATGTAAGTAGTTGTATTGAAAAAGTTTTTTTTTCTTAGTGAAATAAACTTAAAATTAAAATCACAAAAACACTACACATGAACTCATTCCCAAACACGTTAATATCCGGGAAATAGTAAAAGTTTATGCGGAAATTTTCGCTTTTTACACTGAAATTTTTTGGCATGCTGAGTTCCTGCGTGGAACACATTTTTGCTTTATAAAGTTGTTTAATAAAAGTTCAGTATTTATCTTTTATTATAACCACAGTTTTTGCATTGTAATTTTTAGATAAAAAATGCAATACCATATGGCGAAATTATCCTTTGTAAACTAATTACATATTTTGTGAGAGGTGAATTTTTAATTTAAAATAAATTTCTACCATGAAGAGCACCTTCGATTCACTGGTATTATGGAGAGTATATTATTTAATATCAGTCCATATATTAACATATTATGCTTAACACATCTTACTATATATCGGATATCACAAAAAAAAGCACTATATAATCTAAAAATAATCTCTAGCTGCACGGGACGGTACGCAGATCTTAGATCATTAATCGAATAATTAGCGAAGCTTGTGAGGAATACATAAATTAGTCAGTGAGAAGGGTTTGAATCCGTAGAAATCCCACCCTGCTATCAAAGAGATGCACTAACTCGAGGACGACTCAACATGAACCACAAAATGTTATATCTAACTATATTTATTTAACTATATTTTTTTCCGGATTTGGTTGTTTGTTAACTACTCCTTAAGTAATAGACCTTTTTCAAAATTTTTTTTTTGTTATGTTGGTACACCCTTTCTTGACGTATGATACAAATTTGAGCGCCATCTGTCAATTAGTTTGTTTATAGCAGCTGTTAATGTGAGACTACCTCAAGTGCATTTAGCGATTTTTACTATAGAAAATTCTTGTTGTACGCAATTGTTTGACCAAACACGGCACCACTGTCATTCCTCAGGTACCATATTCGCCAGATCTGGATCTGTGCGACTTTTTCCTGTTCCCAAAACTCAAATTTCCCCTTCGTGATAAGCGTTTTAAGTCGATTGAATCGGTAAAAGAGAATTCGTCGAAGGAACTAAAAGCCATACCTGCATGGGCCTACGAAAAGTGTATGGAAGATTAGGTTAAGCGTTGGCATATGTGTATCGCTTCAAAAGGAGTACATTTTGAAGGAGATAAAATAAATTTGGAATAAAATTTAAATTTGTGTGTTTTATTTACAAAATCCGAGTACTTTTTGAACAGAAGGTATGTTTAAGTAAAAGATATTCTTTTTTTTTTCTTCGTATAGAGAAAAGAAAAATTGTTATCTGTTGTAGGTTTCACTTGCTTGAGAGACTCAAAGTGTTCTTGACATTATACAAAATATTTAAAAAGAATATTTAATTATATTTTTTCATTTAAATACACCAAACATTAAGAGTGTTGCCCTTACTTACATAAAATTGTAATTTTAACAATCTTGTTTATTTTAAAAATTCCCAGTTTTTAATATGAACATTATTATAAGCATTATTTTTCTCCTTGTACATAAATCATTTCAATATCATATCTCAAGCATTAATTCCATAATAATGCATTATAATGAGACCTATACGAGTACATGTTTTAGCTGAAACATTATACATAATAGCAACAGCGAAAAAAGGAAATCAGCATTACAATTTTTACCCTAAAGCGCGCTCAACCTAACAACAGAAAGGTTCTTCCTTCAACAAATTTGTATCTTTTTTGTGTTTTTTTGCTTTAATTTTTTCTGTTGTTTTTGTTATGATTTGAAACAAAGTTAGTAACAAATTTTATGCTGCAATGCCTTTAATCTGGGCTAAACGAGAAATAAAAGCACAAAAATTTGGATTCCTGTTAACAAAGTTGCTGTTGGGATGTTGTCATTGCCAAATTAAATTTTCGTACATTAATTACACTGTAAGGATGTTTCTACAACAACAATGTCACATTTTTTCCCACGACAGGACGTTTCTACGAAACGACAACATAAACAAATTTAATAACAACAAAATGTGTTAGCATTCTCGTTACTGTTGCTGCTAATTCACTTCCTTAATTGGGATAGAAATTAGTCAGGATAATGAAGTATATTCTTAGCAAAATATTAAAGGTATCACGTATTCGTTTACAAGATATGAAAAATATAGAATTTATTACTTTTAATTAAATATTTGAAACATATTATACACTGACATATATCACAAGAAATTCCTGAGCATCTTATGCAGATAAGAATAATACAGATTATTCTACATTGTCCTCGATTGGAACGAGAGTCGATTGGAACGAGAGTCGATTGGGAATAAGACACTGCAAAGGATGGTTAAAACTAATAGCTTAGTTTAATATATATAAAGAGAATTTGAAAGTGTGTTTAGAAATAATACAATAGGACAATATAGTAAAGCTCAAATGGGGTAGTGATCGGATATTGGGATATAGGATATTTCCAAAGATTCTAAAGATATTGAAACAGAATTGCGAAAACTTTCAGATAACATATACGAGAATGCAGGTGCAGATAAAGTGAAAACTCCCTTTTTTATTTAATAAATGGACGAAAAAAAAACTGAAGAGACGAGTCGAATTATGGGTAGTTGAAAACGTGATCCCAACAATGATAACTGTCTCATAAAATTGGTAACAAATTACCAAAATCATTGAAGAAGCAATAATTTTAAAATAAATTATTAAAATAGGAGGTAAAAAAATGAGACTTTAAAAAATAAGACTTTAAAAATTAAGATCTGGAAGCTTCCTATAGTAGAAACAAATCTAAGCTTTCGCTTTTAAGTTGAATTAAAATAGTAATAAAAAAGTGAAATTAGCAGGACGTGTGCCAAGTTTTATTTTACTCTATATAAAAAATTGAGAATGTTTAAAAAAACCACACAAAAGAAAAAATGATATTTTCATAAACAAAAGTTTGAGAAATCCTGATCATCGCTAGCAATAAAATTATTTCCAGGTTGAGCCTTATTCAACAAGTTTCTCTACCGAACACCATTACGAGCCGTTGTCATCGAACTGAGCACCTCCAAATAATCATCATTATCATTTACACTACAATCAGTGTTTAGGATTCGTCTTATTCAACAGTTTCTCCAATTGATCATCCAATTAAGTACTTTCAAAACACAAAGCCATCACGTCAGATTAGACCAGCCACGTCAGATCAGGATTTCGGGTTAATTTTTTGAAACACTCAACATAATCATAAGAAAAGATAATTCTGTTTACATAATTTAGCAGTTTGACAGTTTAGCAGCTCTGTATAGATATTTTTGCAGGATATTTAGTAGTATGGCACAGCAATAAGCTCGATTTATTAAATCGACCAAATTTTTATTGCTCATAGATTACTATATATATGCTTATCTTTCAATATAAATTTTTTTCTTATTTGTTTGCTAAAGTTTTATTTAATATCTACTCTTTAAGTATCAAAATTAAATTATAATACGTTATAATAATTTCGATTTCCAAATACCACCAAAACCCCAAAATTCTTTTCAATTTATGATTTAAAAAACTAACTTCTTTGGCAATATAAAGTTTCTTAAAGTTCTGATGTTAACATGAAGTACTTGGTAATCTGTGTTCGCCAGCAACTGACTACGAACTGTCAGTTGAAGTTAACTTGACAGACTGACAAGCGGACAAACAGATAAAAGTTTATATTTTTTGCCAAGCTTATGAGACCCCAGAGAGGCAGAAATACGTTTTGTACTTTGCCTGCCCAGCCACAACTAAAGCAGTTTGCAACCAGCAAACTGAGCTTCTCAGAACTACAAGAAAGGTGCGTTCGAGTGTGTAGAAGTGTACGTGTGCACTTTACATGTGTTGGTGTTTGATGGCATATGTAAAATTGTGGTAATGAAATCCATTTTTTTTAAATTTTATGATATTTCTACTTTTTTGTGGTTTTCAATAGGTTTCTCTTGCTGTTTTTAAACACAATGTGCACGACATGAGTATGCAAGTGTGTAGGTGTGTATGTGTACGTGCAAATGTTTACTTTAATGTACTTTCACATTGTCTTACATTTGTAAAAGTATAATTATATTTCGGTACAGTTGAATGTGTGTACGTATGTGTACCCACTACAAGGATAATGGCTTTGTTTTTGTTTTTATTTGTTTTCATTTGTTTTGGTTTACTTTCGTGTTTTATGAATTCATTTGGTAAACTAAATTTGCAAATTTTACACACTGTGCACTCTGATCTTCTACTGCGAACAGTTTACGCATTGCGTTGTGGTCCCTTTGTATTCTCTATCACACCGTAAAGATTTTACGTTAGGGTTTTTGATGGAACATAATTTAAGTGCAATTCAATTATTTATTCCAAGCGTATGTGTGTGTGTGTGTG